CCCCCCCCCCCCATCCGCCCACCCCAGGGGATTTCGCTGCCCTGCTGCACGCGGGGCTGTCGGTGCGCCGGGCTTTGCTGCTGAACTTGGCCTCAGCGCTGACTGCCTTCGTCGGCCTCTACGTGGCGCTCGCTGTCGACGTTGGAGAGGACAGTGAGGCCTGGATCCTGGCGGTGGCCACTGGCCTCTTCCTCTACGTGGCGCTCTGCGACATGGTCAGGACTGAGGGCGGGAGTCGGCTGCCCTGGGGGTGAGCCGAGCAGGGGCTCAGAGCTGGTCGCTCACCTGTGCCTACCTCCTCCTCAGCTTCCAGCCATGCTTCATGTGCGGGACCAGCGGCCCTGGCTCCTCTTCCTCCTGCACAACATGGGTCTGCTGGGCGGCTGGACCGTCCTGCTGCTGCTGTCGCTGTATGAGGACAACATCACCCTCTGATGCCCACCCCCCCTACTCTCGGGCCCTTGATGCTGGCTGCTGGCCCCCTGGGCTATCTCAGCTCCTTGGGTCTGCTAGCCAGTGTGGAACCTGTAGCTGGGTACCCAGAGAGCCCCAGGCCTTTGAGAGTCTCCCTCTCACATGACCCAGCATCCCTATTCAATAAAAATATTCTTGCCCTTGGAGCCCAGCTGCTTTCCTTGCTGTTAGGGAAGTTTCTCCCACCAAGAAAGGCAGGGGGCGGGGGGAGGGGGGGCAGTACCTCTCTTTCCCCCTGGGGCTCCGATGAGGCACCAGGAGCCTGTGCTAAGGGATCTCCAGGCAGCCAGCCCCAGTCCTGCGTGGGGAAATGTGGGAGCCCTGTGTGGGGAGTGGACTCAGAAAAATTGGCCAGAGTCTGCAGGTAGCAGGGGGACCCGGTCTCCAATCAGGAATCAGACTTGTTTACTTCTCACAGAAGGGCCGAAACAAGCACCGCGCTCACAGAGACGAGGGTTTATCACTACTTGGAGGTAGTCGGACCCGCGTATGTGACAGCCCGTGGTCAGCGGGGCCCCGGCCCCTTCTGACTCTGCTGCGCTGTCCTCGGCCCAAGTGTCCATCCTCACAGACCCTTGTAGTCCCCTAAGGTTGTAGCTCAGCCTATCACAAATTAGGTGCCTTAAAACAACAGAAATTTATTTTCTCACAGTTCTGGAGGCAGAAGTCTAAATTCAAGGTGTCCGTAAGCCGTGCTCCTTCTCAACTATTTTTTTGATGTTTATTTGTTTTGAGAGAGCATGAGTGAACACGTGGGGGTGGGGCAGAGAAAGAGAGAGAATCCCAAGCAGGCTCTGTACTATCAGCACAGAGCCCGACGCGGGGCTTGAACTCATGACCTCAGGTGAAATAAAGAGTCGGACGTTCAACCAGCTGAGCCTCCCAGGTGCCCCTGCTGCTCAACTCTCTAGAGACAATCTATCCCATGAGGCTGTCCTGGCTTCTGGCGGCCACGTGTGGTTTGGGTCTTGTAGCAGGCATAGCTCCAGTCTTCCTCCATCTTGTGACCTTCTCTGTTGTATCTCTTCTCTTCTGATGACACCAGTCCTACCGATTACCAGCGTGCCTACTCCAGTATGACCTCATCTGAACTAATTCCATCTGTCGATGATTCTATTTCCAAATAAAAGTCACATTTTGAAGTACCGAGGGTTAGGTTTCCAACATATCTTTTTTTGGGATCACAATTCAATCCACAACACCCCTCACAGTCCAAAATGGCTGCCAGAGCTCTAGCCCTTAAATGCACTTTCCAGGTAGCAGAAAGGAGGTGGGAGGAAAGACCAAAAAGAGGAAGGGGTCCAGGGGACATCAGATTCGGCCTGTTGTTCACACACACAGACACAAAAGCGTGAGAGTGGAAGTCAGTCTTACGTTACGCTCCGTGGGTCCACCTGTGCTGGAGGGAGGTGGAGGCTGCATGCCAGTAATCTGTGGCAAAGCAGGCAGAAAAGGCCATATCTGAGAACTCCCGGGCCTGACCCCGGTAGACAGACGCTCTGGCCTCTCCAAGAGGTATTGATTCTCCAAGAGTCTTCACCAACAGCACAAAAGAGAAATGTGGGAACTACCACCTTCCTCCTAAACCTGGTCTACAACACGGAGATGGCCTCTTGGCACGGAAGGAAGGTGCAGAAAAACCACTGACTCCCAGCACAGCGCTGCCTCAGAGGAGCAAGAGCATGGCCTGTAGTGTCCACTAGCCCCAGGGCCCAAGCTCAGGGTCAGAGGGCAAGGCCAGGGCTTGTACTGGCATTCC